GGCAGAGAGGCTTTTTTTGTCTGTCCGGAAGCCTGTTGCTCAGGGGAGGAGCAGCCTGTTGCTGGCAGGGGGGTTGGGGGGGCAGCGGGCGTGGGGAGGCACTTTTCCTCTGCCCGGCAGCTCTGCGGGACCCCAGTCGGAGCCGGCCCAAGGAGGAGGAGGATCCTAGGACCCAGGTGAGCGAGCCCCGGGAATGCTGCTGTGCATGTGCGGGAGTTGCCTCACCCCGTTCGTATCTAGGGATCCGACGTAAGTCAGATCCACGTAAGTCGGGGACTGCCTGTACTAAGTTTGATACTTAAAATGTATCAACATTATTACCAAAATGATGAAGAAAACCACCAGCCCCAACTGCATATTCAAAAATAAGGATATAACTCTCAGATCATGAGCATGGATTTGAAAAGCATCTATGCTTAGGCAAATGTGGGTATGCAGTGGTTGTGGTGTTGGCAGATGGTTTGGTCCCTACAGAACAGATGGGCACCACACAAACTAATCTAAGTTTCTAGAGCATCCTGTCTCGCTCCTGTCAAATATTACAGCTACAAGAAATAGCTATTTTCCAGAATCTCAAAGACTTTGCACTTTCTTGATATTTCATCTCCAATTACAGTGTTAAATGAATCATGAAAATAAACATATCTCCTCTAATAAACAGGATAATCCCATAAGATTCTAAATCCTTATTAACCCTATTGTAAACAGTGAATTTCAGTTTGCTGTGAAGAATAAAAGTTCTGAATTGTTCAGTGTATTGCTATGTGCCAGTTACAATTTCAGTTTTGGGGGGAGGCCTGGCTGTGTCATTCTTGTGGCAAGAATATATTCCTTGTGGAAAAAATGTGTTCTGTTCCACTGACTTCTTGATATTTGCTTCCTTCAGTTATTTCCAGGTAGCACGTTCTCTGTGCAGTTCTTTAGGCTTTCTCTAGTTAAATCAGAATTGGACCCTTACATATTGTTTGTGGGCATTCACTGTTGTTTTTCTTTTTTCAATGTGTAGATGAGGGGGCTTCCCTTCACCCATGTGATGACACATACTGTGGTCCTTTTCCTGAGTCCGAGCCTGAAGTAAAGGCTGTAGCTCACTTTCTTCGCAAGCGCCAGAAACAAATAAAGGCCTATCTGTCCTTTCATGCATATGCTCAGATGTTGCTGTACCCATACTCCTACAAGTATGCAACGATTCCAAATTTCAGTTGTGTGGTAAGTTCAATAGTTCTTGGAGATTACACATCATCATGTACTATTTCTGTTATTGTTTTATAGTGAGCAGAAGCAGTTCTCTAATACTTCATATTTAGCAATATTTGTCAGCTCTATTTATAGTTTTATCACTGGTGGTGTAACCTTTATTTTACTAGAATTAATGGTGACTCACTTAGTTTCTTCCATCAATCTATATAAAGTAATTTAAAGGATAATCAGAGGGGGTTTAATAAGTTTTATTATAGTTTATTAAATATTAGGCAAGACATGAGAAGTAATTCTTCTGTTTTACTCCTTGTTGATTAGGCCTAGTCAAGGGACTAGTTGACTGTCCAATAATAGACTAGTAAACTAGTTGTTTGGCTAACTTAGGGATGTAAATGCCTGTCAGGGATGGTCTAGATGTGGCTTGATCCTGCCATGAGTGCACGTGACTGGACTTGATCACCTTTCAAGGTCCCTTCCAGTCCTATGGTTAATGGAAGCTGTTACCTAGCTGAAAGTCTGTCCCTATACTTTTGAAAAAACTGAAGTTATAAATACTTGATTAAAATTTTAAAGTATCAAATCTTTTTTCTAACAAAATGAAAATCTTTCAACTATTACATTTCATCCCAAAATAAAGCTTTTAACCTTGAATATTGCAACTCATTGAGGTAATGCCATTACCTCCCTTTGATCTGAGTAATCAGCAAATTATTAAGGTTTTGTAGCTGTCTCCTTTAAGAAAAAATGATGAAGAAGTTGGGGTGGGGGGTTGATGTAATCCTGCTTATTTACAAAATTTGTATAACTGTCATTTCCCTGAATACATATTCTCTAGGGAACATTTACACAGCGGGGCTAAAGCCAAATTAAGCTATGCAATTTAAGCTACTTCAGTTGTGTAGCTTAAGTCGAAATAACTTATTTCAGCTTTTGGTTCTGTCTACACACCAGGAAGTCTGAGAGAGAGTACTCTTCCTCATACTTCCCTTACTCCTCATAAAATTAGGGTTACAGGAGTTGGAGTAAGAAGTCCTCCAGCTCCCCATTATTTTGACATTGTCAAAATAACTGCTTGTAGTGTAGACATGGGCTATGTTATTTCAGAATAACGCTAGTTATACCGAAATAACGCCGCTGTATAGACATACCCTTAGTTGCATGGATCTAGAGTATGGAATGAGGGTCTTAGTATTTCTTTTGGGGTATTAGGATAATTAAAAGATTATTCCTGACACCATTTCTGTTAAAACTTAATTGCACCAACTCCTAAAAGTTTCCTGTATCTGATGTCATGCAGCCAGGAACTCGTGCTGCAGTTCCAGCCTCAGCCGCACAGCTGCTGGCTGGAGCACTAGCTCCAGTTTCCTGCTGGAAGGAGGAGGGGGTCAGGAGAGGCACATGCATGTCCCAGGGGCTGCCCCTGCCCATCCTGGGGGTGCAGCTCCTAGGAGCTAAGTGATTAACTGTCCCCCTTCCTGGCTACAGGCTTCTTGCTTTGGGAGGGGGCACAGCTGGGTGGCATGAACACATGGGGTGCCAGGCTGCTCCCCGCGGGCTGTGAGAGGGCTCGGGGAGCCCTTTCCTCAGTGCCCCTCTGCACCCCGCCAAGCTGGGGGCAGTGCTGGGAAGCCCCAGGCTCTGCCTGTCCCCAGTTCTGGAGCTGCAGCCTGCTGACAAAGGGCTGGTCCATGCAAGGAAGAGACTCTTCTCCCTTCCCCCCACCTCTCCTCACCCAGCGCTATTGCCCAGCCGGTGAGTGTGGATTGTGGGGGCAAAGGAGGATACTGGGGCAGGATGGGAGGGGGCAGGAGTTTCACTGAGGAGGGATGGAGCAATGCAGGGGATCAGGCTGCAGAGGCAGGATTGGAGAGGGCAGTGGTTGCACTTAGGGGGCATAGGGCAATGTAGGGGATCAGGCTGTGAGGGAGGATCATGGGGCTGAAGCTGGAGCAGAGGGGCGGGAGGGGGAGATACAATTTTACTTTGCCAAAGTTGCACTTTCCTTTATTCATCACTTCTTTCTCCAACTACCTATTTGGCTGCATTCTCACCCTCTCACCTTTATCTGTGTTACTCCCCCAAACTCCCTCTCATACCTCCACCCCACATCCTCTCCTGCTGCTAAACTGCCTTCCAGGTCCTGCCCTCACACTGTCCTGCATCCCTATCACAATTGCTGGCAGCCGTCCCACACATGGAATCCCTCATTTTTGTTCCCACCCCAGAGCCTAAGGGAGGTCACAAAATCCACTAACTCTGGAACCCTAGAAGAGTTAATCTGGCCTATGGGAAGCCCTGAACCCCAGTCCTCCCTGTCCCTTCCCCTTACCCCATGGGGTCTGGAGTGCCAGAGGAGTGAGGTGTCTCAGTTGGGGTCCACATCAGTGAGAGTGGGGGGGCGGTCTGGAGGAGGTTTTTTTGCTTCTCACTTTTGTGGTCCCCAAATGATTTTTCTGTGGATCAGTCAACCCCAACCCAAAAAAGGTTCCCCACCCCTGCCATAAATAAAGAAAACATTGAAACCTTTTGTGTTGGACATAATATTTTCCTTTATTTAAAATGAAGTTGGATAAACTAACACGAGAAAGTTAAAACGTGTAATCTGTTTAATCATTTAAATTAAACTGTTCTCCCCAGCTGCAGCACTAGTAAAATAGCTCCAGTGTAATTATATAATTAACAGTGAGTTTCCATTAGCAACTGGCAATCCGCAGAAAGGTTTGCATTGACCCAGATTGTCCACCAGGCACACAGTGGAGAGAGCCTCTCCCCTCCCTCCCAGGAGAATGGCACAGCCCAGGGCAGGAGTGTTACATCTTGGCACGCCACTTCGGAAAGGTTTCTGACTCCTATTCTAGAGGGAATTCTGCCTAAGTAAAATAGTGATTATTCTTAGATCAAAGAACACAAAACTCTAATATTGCATTCATCTGGAGAACAGAGAAAGCAAACCTACATTCATTGGCGAGACAGTGAAGGAGAAGATATAGCATTAGGAACACTTGGTCTTCCAATTCCAAGAAGAAAATTGCAGAATATCCTCAAGGACACATCTGATATGATGTGAGAATGTATCAAGCAAAGACAGAAACAGTCAGTGTATCAAGATATTAACTCTTGAGAGAGAATCTTAAAGGCTTTCCCACATCAGTAAATCTTTAATGCAACTTGCTCTACTCATCTGGATTCTTCATCTAGTCTATGTTGGGGAATCCTGGTCCACTCTCTACCTTTCCCATCTGTAGCATTTACATTAGAGCAGTGGTCCCCAACACGGTGCCCGCGGGCGCCATGGCGCCCACGGGGCCATTTGTGTGCGCCCACCAAGTGCTCGGGGCTGGCCTGGCTCCGGGCACGTGGCACTATGTATGGTGCAGGAGCCGGCCCGGGCGCATGGCGCACGGTGAGCGCCAGCCCCGGGAACGTCGCAAATTAGCCGCCCGCGCTCTGGGCGTGCGGCGCTTGGGGGGGCGCCGGCCCCAGGCGCGCGGCTCTTGGAGGTGGCCCCGCCCCTGGGTGCACTGATAAGGGGGGGCACCTAGCGGGCGAACGGCCATGCCCCCTGGCTCCCGGCAACCTCCAAAGGGT